TCGGATACTTCCTAGTCGGTTTGGAAATCTTCGCTGACTTGTCGGCTACTGGTGCCTTAGCACTAACTACAATGAACGAAATAGTCTGAATTCAAACATCATGATCTACCGGTTGTGTCAGCTTCGATCTCCTGTAGTATCGTGTACAAACACAGGCAGATGAGTAGAACCTATATTTTACAAACAGTGTTATTGGATTCAATGGTTTCCGACCTTGATTGCATTCATTGTTGGGGAACAGCTATGATCACTATTCAACGTCCTATGTGCATAATTATATAGGAGAACTTGCAGGTGAAGTGGAAACACGAATGAATGTGTCGGAGTAGCCCTGAATGTCTCTATTGATTTGCTGACATGAAACTGTCATCTGTCATAATATTGTGAACTTGTGTTCCGATTGATTTCTACTGTAGTTGGTTGTATTAGAGAAATGTGGCCAAATCAGTGAATTGGCAAGTTTAAATACCGATTGAAATTGATGCGTTGTCCTGTATTTCAACCATAAATGTGACGTTCACATTGAATGTTAAAATATGTCAGTCACCATAACCTCATTGTGTAAGTAAACTCATTGAATTGGAGAAATGATTTTATCTCATTGAGGTAGGTATTATGAATTTGAGATGGCGTAGATTACTCGCACTTCATCCGAATAATATGGAAGCAGTTGGTGCGCTTACATACAATCACAATATTTCAATACAAATGTGGATATCACTGACCAGTCATTTGTAATAATGTATACTTCGACCCGTCAGCATTTGAAGCATAATGTGTGAGAGAAAGATAGAGACGAAACACTGTTTTTCCATGAATCAGGTTGACTGTCAACATATTGAAATTCAGTGAAAATATTTCAGTCATCATCAGGTTGGACATAATTTCGATGGATAGTGAGAATCTTCGACATTCTAAGGTGAAGCCATGGTTCACAGATTTGAGTACACGCCTGTGCATTGCAAGTGGTATTTGAGCATGTTGCACGTGAGTGCGACTTCATGAAATTCTCTACGTATAAATTTTCCAGTCACTTTACGCCCGTAGATGAGAATTTATCATAGGACTGTGCATTATCAACAAATAAGTGACCTGTGCACATATGCCTAATGTTATCATAGAATTAAGTCAAGACTTTTATTTTTATGTGGTATCTTTACTGGAATACTACATTTCTGTTGTTTATTCCGCTCGTGATTCGACTTCTAATACAGTTGGTTGCACACTCAGATTTACACCAGAATTCATTGCTGGTGAATAAGTGTCTATTAGAGTACGAAATATACATTACTGCACATTACTTGTTTGTATCTGGAATAAAACATACCGACCGTCAATACTAACGTGACGTTGTTGTCAGGCTTGTGTATCCTGATGACTGAACCAAGCTCTACTACCTGGAATATATGTACTTTTATGTCTGACCATATCAGGCCGGTCTATAAGAGAACACTAAGTCTGAAAGCAGCAACTGAAGATCTTAGAGCGTAGTCTTACTGATTACTGTAGAGGGGTGTAAGAGCGGTACTGTGTTTCCTTCGTGCAACCAGCACCTGCGGTAATTCTACCTTATCACAAGGAAATAGGTTGACTGTAACAACGTCATACTTCGCCCATACCACACAGCTCCCTGTTTACGGGTGTATATCCTTTTGAAGATTGTGGCTATCGAGTCTATCGTGTCTAACCTCCTTCCAGGGCTCCTTAGGAAATATGTTACGTCCAGTTTTTTGCTCGTTGATCTTACGAAGCACTGTTGTCGTCTATTTGTAATTCACGGTCCCAAATTTCTATACCAAGAACGAAACTCCAAAGTAGATACCAAAGTTTATTCCAAATCACAAATTCGACCAAAATAATTTATTACAAATAGACGACCAATGTCGTTCTAACAACAATAATTATAATAATTACAATTACCTTCTAATTTATTATCTCTTGGAGCAAAAAACTGCAACGAACAACAAAGAGAAACGGGAGTCCAATATGTCCGCAAATAATAATTCAAACAAGTTCATAAGTTAAGTAAAACAAATATACCCAAAAAACAGTGAAATTACTGATTATATATATAAAGGTTTGATCAGCAAAATGTCTTCGTTTCTCCCGTAACAAATACCCTTCCACGGTGTGGGCAGCAACGAGGAGACCTCCGTACTCATACTCGTACAGGCACATGCGACGGAATTTTTTGTTATCAAATCCTTTCTTTACTTCTTACCAAATATCTCACCTCCATCATCAAACCTTCTCACATAATTTTATCACAAGGCACAACTAATATAAATGGTCTGAGTTCGCCAAACTTTGTTCCTGGTTTCCTGAAACCATACTGTAAACTATGTGTTGGAAATTTCAAAATTCAAATCACCTGCCAAATTGGACACCAGGATTCCTTAGCTAGGAGTTTAGAATCTCGAACCATTGATGTGTATCACGTCTCCGAATCTCACACGCAGGTTCCGAGTAGAACAATTCATTTTCTCCTCTCCTTTCAAAGAGGAAGAACCGTCTCGATTTACCCTAGGTGAATCTGGAAGCTCTAATGCTGCCTCGTGTGGTCTCGCTGCTGTAGGTGTTGCACTGATTTCTAAATCATAACTAGCTCTGTTGCACTGGATCCGAGTAGACAGTAACTTGTGTCCTTTCCGAATAAATGGAAGATTAAGAGATAGAGATAGAGACAGTTGCCGGTACCTCTTCATTATCTCTGCTTACGCTCTCACTGACTACCGCTCAGATGAGGTAAAAGAAAAATTTTACAGAAAGCTTCCGGAACTCCTCCAGAACCTTTGACATTGATGTAGTAATAGTGGCGGGTGACTTCAATGCTCAAGTAGGTAGAATAAGTGAAAAGGAAAGACACCTGAGTGGATTTTATGGTCTCGTTACTGATGGAGCAAATAATGGCAATCGCCTACTGCTGCTATGCGCGGGTAACGGCCTATTTCTAGCAAACACTAACTTAAAGCACAAGGAAAAATGTCTTTAAACATGGCGACCCTCAATGTCGTCCCGACGATGGACCCAACTAGATCATATCGCTCCCAGCCGTCGGTAGAGAGCCTCCATTGGAGGCTGTTGCTGATTTTGGAAAACATTTCTATATTCAGATCATGCCCTGGTGCGGGCCCATAATTGTCTGTGTCTTACTGGACTTATGAAAGACCCTGCGAGTAAACCACATTGGGTTTCACCAATTAACAGCAAAGCTAGGAATAAGTTCCAGAAGTATCGGGGAAAATAGTTAGGCAGTTATGTAAGTGATGCTCACCCTGAAGAAGCTTGGGATGATACTCAAAAAGCTGAGGAAGCAGCAGTGATATCTGCTAGTAAGTAAACTACAAGGCTAAGGGGAAACAGTTGATCTAATTAGCATCTACCGAACTGAGAGATTAGCGAATCGATATGGGAAAAGGATGGAAATATTGTTCATCTTAAAATCACGAGATTGGGTCGATGCGTGGAACACTTCGTGGATCAGTTCGATTGATATTTAGCCACATTCCGGTCATATATTCTATTCAGTTTTTAAAAGGACAATTTGCACTTAGATGAAAACCATCATCACAAATGTCAGTAGTTGTTTTGGTGGTTGTTGAATTCTATTCAGAATACGAGCTTAAACTATGTAGGAGGTTCCGTTCTAGTTAGACAACTCTCATCTGTGCACTTCCATTCACCTACAGCCGAATTATTATTTCATGAACCAAGTTAATGAGCCTAAAAAGGAAACGCATCTATTCCTGTAGCTTTTCGGCCACACAATAACATACCGATAATTTGTGAGTAGAAGTCACCTCACATGGGTTGTTTTACGTGTATGGAATGCGCAATATCTCAGATTCATAACACATCAATCATGCTGTGAATTTAACTCATGTCACCTCAGGTCATTTTGTTCCGTACTCATCTAATATTTCACATTATCATCAACTATGCCACATTTGTTCAGTTCAAACAAATCAAGAGTTACATCCATACGATTTATGTACACTTGTCTACCAAGGCGCTCTCTACTCCTCAACCAACCTGAAAAACTCTCCAACATCACATGCATTATGTGATAGATTACAGGAGGAATTACTATTTCCATCAGTGCATTTATCATTCACTATTATTGTGAAATGCATTGTGTGTTTCAGATTGTACGGTATTCAGAATGAAATCGCTCATAGTACCAGCCATTGAAGATTTCCACTCTATTTCTCACTGATATCTAGTTACCCAGCAACAATCAATTCAGCTGTGAAAGAGAAGTAATTGATTCTGAGAAGATCGAACTATGTGTAATAACTTGCCTGTTGAAAACAGAAACATATTCTTGCGAAGTCAACTCCTATAGGATCAGTAAACTGTGAACATTTATGTGAAAGCGTGAAATGACTTGAACATTTTGACATCTAGAGCAAAACCCATCCTTAAAGTAATCTACGCCATCTCAAATTCATAATACCTACCTCAATGAGATAAAATCATTTCTCCAATTCAATGAGTTTACTTACACAATGAGGTTATGGTGACTGACATATTTTAACATTCAATGTGAACGTCACATTTATGGTTGAAATACAGGACAACGCATCAATTTCAATCGGTATTTAAACTTGCCAATTCACTGATTTGGCCACATTTCTCTAATACAACCAACTACAGTAGAAATCAATCGGAACACAAGTTCACAATATTATGACAGATGACAGTTTCATGTCAGCAAATCAATAGAGACATTCAGGGCTACTCCGACACATTCATTCGTGTTTCCACTTCACCTGCAAGTTCTCCTATATAATTATGCACATAGGACGTTGAATAGTGATCATAGCTGTTCCCCAACAATGAATGCAATCAAGGTCGGAAACCATTGAATCCAATAACACTATTTGTAAAATATAGGTTCTACTCATCTGCCTGTGTTTGTACACGATACTACAGGAGATCGAAGCTGACACAACCGGTAGATCATGATGTTTGAATTCAGACTATTTCGTTCATTGTAGTTAGTGTTAAGGCACCAGTAGCCGACAAGTCAGCGAAGATTTCCAAACCGACTAGGAAGTATCCGAGACCAGGTATTGTTCATATGATTCATTCAATCACATATTTCATTTGCACATTTCGATTGTATCGTTTTCACTCATGTGACCAGAGTGTTGGTTTCATGTATGCTCATCGAAATATTCCATTATTGCATTTGTGATGTTGTAAATTATTATTATTGATTTGCATTCAGGGAGGTCATTAGAAAAGAATAAGAAGAAATCGTCGACCGAGCTACCAGATGGAGCAGTCAGAGTTGAGCAGCCGAAACCAGAAGAGAGTGGAATCATACTGGACCTGATTGCAGCAATGCTTTAGCAAGTAGGATGAGAGGACACTTGATATATTAGCTCCAGTTGTCAACAAATATACGTTCCATTGTAACAAATAGAATTTTCAATACTTATTCAAAATACTCTTCCTGAATTTACCGAGTGAACGAGAAGTGTGATTTGTTTGTAATGTGACTGTGATTTTGAATTGTCTGTGTCAATTAGCAGGCAATGTATTTCACCTAGTTGGCCGAACACGAAACACTGCTCATTACTGTGTTATTGAACATTTGCACTTTACTCAGTATGTCGAATATATACAGGTTTACGTCTGCACTTCCAGTCCACTGTTTACATTGTTTACTCAAACTTCAGTGAACAGTCCTGACTTAGATTGTCAGTGTACTGTTCATTCATTCAGAGAAGCCTTCACGAACTGGACAATATCTACTTCATCACATTTATTGTCAATTTGCACACAATCCAGTCTCGACAAAGTACCCATCCAGAAGCATTGTCCAGTTAACCTGATTGTTTCGACACACATACGCAGTCAACAGTAATCAGAATTTCCAAGTTGAGAGTCCAGAACATGTAGAAAATTGCTGGAATACGAACAATAATGAATCACTCGGAAAGAGCACGTGGCGAGTATTCGTTTTCCCTAGTTATAAGCGAACGCATGATGTATGTTGTTATGCTCGTCAATCGATATGCTTGAAACTATTACCAGTTCACCTTAGTCGGTAAACAAGAGCAAAGACAAGTGATCCATTGAAACGATATGACACTCTAATCCAAGCGTCACAAACCCTCACTAACCGTATCAAAATTCTTGATATGGCTTAGAAAGTACATTCTTCAAGCACCCAGAAAACATGGGGTTTTGTACCGAAGAAGAAGAGTAGCATGAAACTTTACAGACAATGCATATTTATACATTTAGGTCGACCATGAGTAATAACCAATAAAAAAGAACATTTGAAAGTATGTGAACTTGATAGTTTGGGAAGACCTTAAATATTGAACAATAAGACTTGACCGATAGAATGAGACTTACCAAATAATTGCCTTAGGATATTTGATGAATATCCTAACATGTATGAACTTGTCTCTCACGTTTTCATGCATTAGCGGTTTAGGGAGAAGCTTCGTAAAACGCCAGTTCATAGATTCTCTGGTTTTTCAAGAACAGTTTTTACTTTCAACAAACATATGATGGTAACTGTCAGTATGTGTTAAGATGGTTGTCGTATTTCATTCAGAATACGGACTTTTAAGATTGAGGACGCTTCGTTCAAGTGAGGCAACTCTCATCAATGCAAGTTCACTAACCCACAACTGAAGTAATATTTTATGTATCAATTCAATGAGCCTACCAATGAAATGTCCTGTAATACTGCCGCTTTTAGAGGGTACACTCTCTGAGTTCAAAATCTCTTTAATTGGTAATCATCCGAATTATTTTACTGCACAAAATTTATATTGATTCCATCGTTAACATTTATAATTGGTTCCAAATCGTTCCCCATCCCGTTCACTGGTTTAGTAAATAAGCTGGTCTGACTTGCTTACTTACTTACTTACTTACTTACTTACTCACTTGTCAACTAGGATCATTCCTAATGTCATCTATGAAATTCTGCAATATCTATAAATCTTCTTTTCTATTATGAGTTCCTTAGTTCGCGAAGATGTACGAAAGCGACAAAGAATTATTTGGAGAAACAACAGACTTTGATCAAAAAGAGAGAAGGAAATTAGGAAATCAGAAAATTATTGATCAGTGGTAGCAGTCTTTTCTATACTGTATGAGTAACAGAAATGATACTAATATCTTTTCGAAGAAACCAATGAAGATCACACTAATATCAGTAAGCAGAAAAACCTGATATGCAGACTTAAACTAATCTGTCTTTATCAGAAATCTGATCATTCTTACTGGTAATCGGTCACCTCATTCCATCTTGTTGTTTCTGATCATTGAGGAATCGATTACGTAACATATGATACTAGAAACTGTACGATCGTGCAACACTCATCACGCTTTATCAAATAATGATGTTCTGTATGGCCATGAATGTGACTGTACAACTTCAGAAAACCCATTGCCCTGTGGATCCACCTATTCCAGGCAGCACACATTACACGTGAGGCAAAACTTCCTGACGTGACATTCTATATGGTTTCAATCTTGATTTGTACCAATAACAATGTTCTTATGTTTTTTATGACTTATTTCATTAATATAATGGCTGATAATTTCCTATACGGAAACCATTGTTACTATTCCCATGTTTCTGATTTTGTCTTAAAGCTTGAATGTCTACTGCATACCACTTTTCAATAGATTTTTATTTCAATGAAACATTTATCGCATTCATTCTTCTTTGATTTTCCGATTATCCATGGTCATAATGGGTTTCCTAATCTCAAAATTGTAGACTGTTTTGAATACTTTGACGTTTGTGTACTAGATTCTAATACTGTAATAATAATAATAATAATAATAATAGTAATAATCAATAGCAGTAACGGCGTTCGGAAACGCTGACATTCATACTTTACATCACAAACGATCATTGCCCGATAACCAGAAATAGACAGAATGAACTACTCGGCTATTTTGTTTTAGTGTGCGATCCCATTTGTGATTCAACCCATAAAGTAAAGGTTATGTATTGTCGGAGTAACATTTATGTAAACAGCCCAAGTGTTAGGATGAAAGATGAAAAATGTATTACATAGAACATGTTGAGCAAAATGTTAGGTTAACTTTTCCACTATTTTACAATCCAGAAAATCTAGGGCTCAACTTTTACAGCAAAAGCAGTTTCATTTTCGTTTGTAAATGAACAAGTTTCACTCTCTAATAATCTTAACATTGTGTTTATGAGAAATCATAGAAAAAAACGAACGTAACGAATTTCGAACAATATTTTATGTTAAAAGCATAATGACACAAAACTGTATTATTATTATTATTATTATTATGAATGATGGAAAGTTACATTTGATGAAAACATTTGGTGAAAAATAGTATATTCGAAAGGTCAATGATATGATGAAAGTTATAAAAATTTAAAAATCGGGTAATAGTTCATAATGGTGTGATTTTATCAGATTAAATAGTAATCATAATAACAGTCATATAAGAAAAGTCAAGAAAATAGAGTTAGTCATCGTTCGAACAAGATTCTGACAATGTGAAAAATTGAACTTTCAAATAATGGAACGTAACATGTTGATCAGTGAAGTTGACAGAGGTATTGATCATCAAAAAATAAAATCTGTGTTCGAGAAAATGATCATTTCATCGTGAAATGAAATAACAGGTAACATGAAACATTGAGGTAATATAACTCATAGTTATCAGTAAAGTAAGTTTTATACTAATGAATAGTTAGTTATTTGTTATGAATTAAATACGGTCTAACTGCTGTACACTTCAAAATGCTCATAAGAATTTGACGATACTTATGGATTCGAGTTATGTAAATCACGTTGTTGAAAACCGCTTGGAGTGGTATCAAGTTCCAGAAAATATCTCTCACAGTCAACGTCATCAGATACATATACCATGCTTCGACGGGATTTTGTTTGGTAGCATTAGATACACTCAAAAAGTAGCTTACACTGCCTGGTATTGATGTTAAAAAGATAAAAAATGAAATATATAGGAGAACGATACTTCCTGACAAGTTCTTTGCACTACGATTTGCTTTATCAGCTCCAAACCGTCGTCTTTTACGAAGCCATAGATATGTTTTGATAAACAATACTACACCAAGAATTCCATTAGCGAATAGTTGAACTAAGCAACTGTCTGTCACTAAACCATAGTATATTGACCAGCCAATTGTGAACTTTCGTAACCAACATACAGTAGTACCATAGAAATCACTCCAATCGAACTGTATCCACAACGGTATGACTATCAGCACTGAAGTTATTGAGACACACAGAACAGAATACCATGCATATTTGATAGACAATTTGCCATATCTCACTGGGATTAAAAAAGACAAATATTTATCAAGCATAGTTGTCACTAACATATTACCCCTGAAAGTGCTGATAAATGAAATTATGAATTTGTACATTAAACAAAATTGTCTAGATTCATATTCAATAAAAAAATAAAGGTTTGCATTCGATGCATAAGGTATACCTCGTGCCGGTATGTAGTACAAAACCGAGAAAACAAAGCAGTATGACAAATCAATCAACGCATAACACCCTAAGTACACCACGTGCCTTGTCTTGGGTTTGAATGCATAAAGAAATATTGCACTTGTTGCAATATTAGCTATGAAACTGGATAACGTAATAAATGGTAAGACATATGCAGATAAGACACCAGCAATTGTAGAAAGATAACAAAATTGATGACCTGTATGTATATTTCCAGGACTGAAGCCGTCACACCCGACTAAAATATCCCATGGCGTTGCAAAAAATGGCCATCTTGAAGTATTATATTCCATTAATGAACACAAGTTACAATATATTTGGATTAGCAGTTTACTGACAAATATATATGCGAATTTTACCATTCTTTCTGGATGATATATATATATATATTTATATACATGTCATTCTATGTATTGTCTCTATTGTAATAACACAACTAACAAATGTATTTTAAGGAGAAACGACATGAACAATTAGCAAGACAAAAATCATAATTACCGATGTATAGTTTTAAACGTGATGAATGAGTGGGCACAGAATTAGAATATTTACAAATTTATATTTGATGAAGTTATTATTAATGCTAAATATAACTCAAGCAATTGAATATGTCCAACGTGGACTATGATATATTAATATAATGAGAATCATTACTGCAAGGTGTGATGAATTTTCTTCTTATATCTTATACAAATCTAAAGAAATACAGTTTGTATCACGTGGTGAAACTATGGTGATGAATTCTCTCTAAATGTTTATCTTGCTGTTGTTGGATTGTTTAATTGATACAAATCTGATTGAGCTGCGATTCAATTCATTTTCACAGAAGCTCATTCATTTACATTTATTTAT